GCCACGTGGCAAGGTATAGATTTATAAAAATGGGTTAATTTAAGATAAAAGAACAGTTAGCAAGAAGCCTGCCACGGCCATACAGTTTATAAGTGATATAAGCGTCTGAGTAATTATTTTATAAGTGGATTGTGGGACTGCAGGGCTTGGGGAACCTGGAGAGAAGCCCTCCAGCAACAGTATACCCTATCAATTTCCTAGACAAGGCCCAGGCATCCTTCACATCTTAATGTTCCCAGTCATCAACCACTCTCCCTTATCCCAAACAGAGCATTTAAAAAAAAAAATCTTGGAGCTGAGGGTCCAGCTCAGTAGAAGAGCACTTGCAAGCAAGGACCCCTGGTTTTAATCCCAGCACCATTTCCAAAAGAAGGAAATAAAAATAACCTGCTCTTCTTCTGCAGTCTTGAGAAGTTCAACTGATAACCCCTCCTACCACTGAAGGAATGCATGGATTAGTGCTCAAAACAGACATCATAGTATGCAGATTATTTCAAAGTAGCAGCAGATGGAGGCTGTATCTTCCTGTTTGCATAGTTCAGAGGCACCAAGGATGAAGAAAATTACTTCAGGTCCCTTCCCGAGTTTTCATTAATTATATTCAAATAGCAGGGGGAAAGACAAGTTTGTCAACACACCAAAGCAGACTGTCACACAGCTGTCTTCCATTTCGAATGGAAACTCAATATTCCAGAAAGAATCACTCATGATTACTGTCCCACAGGCTCAACAGATTTTGTATGTTTCTCCACGTCCACTGAAAACCCATTTATATGCCTCTAAAATCTGCTGACATTCCCTGATGTCCCCTTCTCCTAATGAAAAGGGATATAAAATTCTGAATCAGATTGTGTTTTAACTTACTGTAGCTTTGTAGAAAGGAACACCACAAAATTACCCTTCAGGTGAGCTTTGTTAGGGGAGGGAGCCTGGAGATCACCCTGAGGCATGGTCCTGAGGCATGACCCGGCACTGAAGTGAGAGAGTATTAGGAGAAATCTACATCATATCAGAGGCAGGAGATGCCAGCATTGAAGGGAGAAAGTGGGCCTTTAAGTCTGGGGAAGGAGCTCCATAGCCACCATATATAACAATGGGGTTCCTGATAGAGAAAGAGACGTCCAGTTTCAGAGGACATGGGGAATTCTGTCTTTTATAGGTTTTCATGAAGGGAGGCAAGCTCCATAATATGTAGTGACCTATCCTGGCCTGGACTCACAAGGCAGACGGGCACTACATAAAAGTTATAATTCAACGTTATCTGGGGATGGGGCTGGGGGGATGACAACTTAGATTTGCTCACAGCTGCTAGTGGGAGAAAGAGACCTATAAGCAATATAAGGTCACAACTCGCATTTTATCAACTTTCTGTCCCAGAGAGCTGAAAAGGTGGGGGATGACTTGATATCTGATAGAAAGTAACAGAGCCTGTGTGTGATCTCACAGGCTGGGCTTAGTAGCTAATCACACTTTGTGATAGCTCCGTGTACATAATTAAAAAAAAAAAAAAAAAGTAATGGCTACAGAACAAATCCAAGGTCCTTTGCTCTTAACACTGGTCTCTCCAGATCTGTCTATCATTTCTTCTGCTTCTCTTTCTCCCCACTCACCCCAGGGCAAGACAAAGAGACTAGAACCTTTTCTCCAATCTTAAACTTAAAAACCAGAATTAAAGGCAAAGTAGTAGCACATGCATATAATACTAGCACTCAGGAGGCAGATGAAGGAGGATCCTAAGGAGGATCCCAAGTTCAAGGACAGCCTAGCTAAGACAGCAAAACTTCATAGAAAGAGAAGGGGGGAGGGAGGAAAGAGGGGGGAGAGAGGAGACACCACTGTAAGCCCTCTCCACCCTTCTATGTAAGAACTGGCCACGAAGACATTCTCTTAAGACTTGAGAGACGCCACAGTACTAGAGTGTCTGACTAACCTGCTAGCAGGTCAAATCAATGATCTACTTAGTCTGATGTATCTTAAGGCCATCATTCCAGAAAGGGCCTTGTCCTATACCCCAGAGGCAGATGATCAATTCAGGTCAGCTTGGGTTTCCCCTCTCACACCACTGGTATTAGATCACACTTCCCTTTGTCCAAACACATTTCTATACGACTGTCCAGTATTAATTAATCCAAGCATTTTCCCCTGGTCTGTGATTATCCGTTTCTCTAAACTCTCCCCTCACGTAAAACTTTGATTAAAAATTCTCAGGTGCGGTAGAGCACTAAAGGTGTGCAGCACTCTGGAAGCAGATGGCTTTGAAGCCGGCCTGGTCTACATAGCAAGCGAGTTCCAGGTCTGCCAGATCTACACAGTAAGACCTTGTCTCAAAAACAAAAAGTCTCACGTTTTTTTTCTCTTGTTAACCACAGTGACTTTTAGGCCGAGGAAGAAAGGTATCACATATTTTCACCCCAATACATCTGGCCTGCACTACATTCACTTGGCATGGGTGTCTGATTTCCCTTACAGAGCTGCTAAACCTTATGCGATGAATCCCAACTATAGACAGATGAGAGACCATAGAGATAGATAGATGGATGGATGGATGGATGGATAGATAGATAGATAATAGATAGGTAGATAGATAGATAGATAGATAGATAGATAGATAGATAGATAGATAGGTAATAGATAGATGGATAGATGGATAGATAGATAGACAGACAGACAGACAGACAGACAGACAGACAGATAGATAGACTGACAGGCGGATGCTGCAAAATGAACCATGGACAGGATGCTGAAAATGCGAACACGGACCAGGGGCCGGTCTGCAGACCCTCCTCTTTGAGCCACATGCCCCAAGGATGAGGATGAGGAAGGAGGGTCCCAGCTCTGGCAGCCGGCTCCTCCACTCCTGGGAGCTCTGCAGAAAGACGGGACCGGGTCCGAGGCACTGGCCCCCTGCCCCCTGCACTCACCAGTGCACCAGCACCGCACGTCCCTCGGCTCGTGACTGGCTGATGAAGGCCACGCAGCGATCCAGGTGGCTGAGCAAGTCGGTCTCGGGTCTGTCGAGCGCCGGCACGAAGAGGCTCCGGAGACCTTCGAACCCAGCCCCAGCCTGGAAACCCGGTTCCGAGTCGACCGTCAGCACGGCGGTGATGCCGGCCTCCATCAGGCGGTCTGGTGCGGCCGCCGCCGCCGCCCCGCCCAGATACAGCCCCGGCCGCACTTCCACCGTGTGCCCGGCCGTGCTCGCGGCCGCACTCCGGCGCCCGCCGCCGCCATGGTTCAAGCCCGGCGCTTCCAACATGGCAGCGCCCGGGAGGCAGGCAGCGGCTGGCCCGCCACCGAGTCGCCGGCTAGAGCTAGAGCGGCTGTCTCCGCCGGCTTCCGCCTAACTCCAGCCCCTCGGCAGCGCCGTGGGAGGACCACGGCGATGGGGAAAATGACCGATCCTGCCGACGGCGCTGTGCGGCTTGCGGAAGCTGTGCTAAGTAAGCCGCTAAGCCAGGCGGATCTCTGTGAGTTCGAGGCCAGCTTGGTTACAGAGTGAGTTCCAGGACAGGCACCAAAGCTACACGGAGAAACCCTGTCTCGAAAAAACAAAAACAAACAGCAGCTTTTCACACAACCTTCCAAAGGTCAAGCGAGAAGATAAAGTCTCCATCCGTCCATTGCTAGTGGGACTGTAAACTTGGATAGCCACTATGGAAATCGGTGAAGATGGGCATCAATTTACCTCAAGGTCCGGCAATAGCACTCTTGGGCATTTACACAAAAGGAGCTTCATCCTACCACAGCAACACTTGCCCAACCATGTTCATTGATATTCTATTCGCAATAGCTAGAAATTGGAAACGACCTAGATGTGCCTCAACCGAAGAATGGATAAAGAAAATGTGGTACATTTATTTATTTTCGAGACAGGGTTTCTCAGTGTAGCTTTGGCGCCTGTCCTGGATCTCGCGCTGTAGACCAGGCTGGCCTCGAACTCACAGAGATCCGCCTGCCTCTGCCTCCTGAGTACAGGGATTAAAGGCGTGCGCCACCGCTGCCCGGCTTTTATTTTATTTTATTTACATTTTTCTCTCTTTCTACCCTACAGGTCCTTTGCCTATATATTATGCTTTCTAGTTTAGTATTTTTATGGGATTGCTGAGTGTGCAAACAAGCGAGACTCTGCGTCTTGTTTCTTGTGTCTTTTCTTGGGTCTTTCCATTCTGTTTGTTGTGTCCTATTCTGATGTGTTAGTTTTTGTTTTAATCTTATTATGTTTTATTTTATTATCATTCCTTAGAAGCCTATTTTTTATTTATTTATTTTCATTTATTTTTTATTTTTTGGTTTTTCGAAACAGGGTTTCTCTGTGTAGCTTTGGTGCCTTTCCTGGATCTCGCTCTGTAGACCAGGCTGGCCTTGAACTCACAGAGATCCGCCTGGCTCTGCCTCCCGAGTGCTGGGATTAAAGGCACCGCCCCGCTGCCTGTTCATTTTCTAAAAGGAAACAGAAAGGGGTAGGACCCAGATGGGAGAGAAAGTGGGGAGAAACTGGGAGGAGTAGAGAGAGGGGAAACCACAATCAAGAGATATTATGTGAGAGGAAAAAAATCTATTTTTTTTTTTTTCGAGACAGGGTTTCTCTGTATAGCTTTGCGCCTTTCCTGGAACTCACTTGGTAGCCCAGGCTGGCCTCGAACTCACAGAGA